TTTTAAGAAGGGGGACCGGAGGGTGTGTTCCAACTATAGGGGGATCACACTCCTCAGCCTCCCCGGGAAAGTCTATGCCAGGGTACTGGAGAGGAGAATTCGACCGATAGTCGAACCTCGGATTCAGGAGGAACAATGCGGTTTTCGTCCTGGCCGTGGAACACTGGACCAGCTCTATACCCTCTTCAGGGTGGCAGAGGGTTCATGGGAGTTTGCCCAACCAGTCCACATGTGTTTTGTGGATCTGGAGAAGGCATTCGACTGTGTCCCTCGCAGTGCCCTGTGGGGGGTGCTCCGGGAGTACGGGGTCCGGGGCCCTATTGCTAAGGGCCGTCCGGTCCCTGTACGACGGAGCAGGAGCTTGGTTCGCTTCCCCGGATAATAATAACAGTCATAAATGCACACATCTTTCAGGATGAAGACAGAACATGGAAAGGTGGAGGGACTGGGTCTTAAAGTAACTTGAGAGAGTGAAGGGCAGAGATTCAGAGCAGTTTGAGGAAAGAGACAAGAGAACATGAATAAAGTGAACATCTCACCAGGGCTATAGTGTTGCAGAGCTTATTTCTCTCACAGCTTCTGCAGCTTGTGATTTCCCGGTTCTGTTTTGCTTCTCACATTTTAATGTTGACATACTGTAACTGCACCTTTGCCATCTTAAGATTACTATTAAACAGGCTGCGTTTTGGTTGCACAAATGATGCAAATTAAATGCTAACTTCTCTCCCATGCCTGACAGAGCTTGCAATGTGTTGCTGCTGACACAGATACTGTTAATTTAGCTGTAAATGTGCAAGATAGTTTGGAATTATGTAAATCTGTTTAATGTATGGATGCATGCAATGTTGATTATTATTTATTTATTTATTTTCTCTTGGAGTGTGCCGTGTGGAATAAGAATCTGCAGTTCATCTTCTTGCAATCCATGCAAACAAACAAAGCCACCAAGCCATAACCAAGAAAAAAAAGCTTTTGTTAATTGTGCCTCCTCTATCCTTTAATCCTTCCATCCTCATTCCACTCCCTCCACATGAAATGATATATTAATCATGTTCTGTAACTTTGTGATGCTTTGGTCAGTCTGGAAATAGACATTATCTTGGTCGCTCACTTTCTAACATGTGGGTGTGCATGTGTATCTTCATGTGTTCTTATCCTGCCCTGAACCAGGATAAAGACAATCCCATTTGAACACCATGCTCTCTTGTCTTTCTCTACCTTTTCCCCATGCTATTGCTTGTTTGTTTCATATTCCCCAGAGAGAAGTACCACTGCTCTCTGCTTATAGAAGAAAACATGCTAGAAGCCTTTCCTGGTTTATACATCTGCTGACAGAAATCTGCCAAAAGTGGATGTGAAGAATGACTGCTTGCACCTTCCCTTGTGAACTATTATCTATCCAGTTAACTATTATATAAGCTTCTATAAGGACATAGTGTGTGTTTGATTTTCCTCCCATTGCCATTACTCTTAGTCTACCCAGAGACATCAGCCAAAGCTGTGTTGTGGTGGAACAAGCAGCAGCTGAACTTAGAGCTTATTGCTCATTCACTGATGACTCAGGTCTGGTGTGAACAGCTGCAACAAGATCAGTGAGATTACAGAGACTTCAGCTGTTAATTCCTCCAAATGTGCTTGTGATACTGACTTAGAGGTAATAGACTAACCCTAACCCTCCTCAGATAGCCTACATGCAGTTAAATGCTCCAGTTGTCTCACTGTTAAACTTGCAATAAATACCAGATGTGAGAAGCTTTAAACATTCAGCTACAGTAAGGTTAAATTTCTAGATCATTGTTTGTGGAAGTGTACTGGATGAGGATTACATTGTGTGCCCTTCCTGTATGTGTCAACTTGTGTGAGCTCCCCCAACACTGCAAGTAAAAATGCCACAACTGCAGGCCAGATGTGGCAGTTGTGCTGTGTTCACTTTTGTGCTGCAACGTTGCAAGAACACAGAAGATTTATTTTCTGAAAATGTCATTTTGATTTGCAAATGAATTGCTTTGATCAAATTACTTTTGTCTTAATTAGGTTTATTCACGTGGGACGTGCTGTGTTCAGGGTGTTAATATACTTTTATATTTGTGAAATTATATTCCCATATGCCATGCCTTCTATCTGAGGCAAGTGAGGAATAAATGAGCATTTTCTCAACACCTTGTTATTTGAACTTCTAGAGAATGCTGCAAGTTTTCTGACATATCTTCCAAAAACCCAATTTTGCTTGAGTTTGGGGAAATATCTTGTCAGTTTTGCCTGCAAGCGTTCCTCCTTTTGATCTTTCCTCTCCCCTGTCTTTCTTGTATTAGAGTCGTCTTGCCTCTAGCTCAGTGTTGACTGTGTTCTTTGGCTCCTGTAGAATTTGTCACTGTGAAGGGGATGACGAGAGCCCTCTGATCACACCGTGCCACTGCACGGGGAGCCTGTGCTTCGTCCACCAGGCCTGTCTACAGCAGTGGATCAAGAGCTCCGACACTCGCTGCTGTGAGCTCTGTAAATACGAGTTCATCATGGAGACCAAGCTCAAACCACTGCGCAAGGTAAAACAGTTTACATATTTGTCCGAAATAGAACATATACTGTACTGTAGTCTGTTAATGATTGTGTTCATTAGTTCAGTCTCAGTGGATAAATCCAGGCTGTCGTCGTGCCAGCTAAACTCACATCACTTCTTTGTTACAAAGATGAAAATGCCAAAAGCAGTTTCCAATCTGTCACGCTGATAACATGAGCGTGACACTGAGCGCTGAAGCCATTTACATAAGCCGAACGTCTTGGCGGTGGTGGGGTTGTGATTCATTTCATCTGGTTTAGAGGCGGTGCGCTTCCTTTAAAGGCTCTTATCAATTGTTCTAGCCTCAAGATGGCAGGACACTGTAATTAAAATTCCTCCACTCTTCATTAGCTGCACAAAAAGCCTTAGACAAATGCTCTGCCGTTAATAGCTTCTGAATCCCACTGGTGAACTTTGAAGTTGTTTGTTTGTGAGAGCACAAAGAAATTTGAGGTGAGGATGTCAGTTTTGGTATGAAGTGTTTATTAAAGGATGCTTGGTTTCATTTCATACTGCAACACCTGCTTCTTGTCAAAGTGACCCTGCAATTGTGTCATTTCATCACTGAAGACATGCATTTGGATACTGGGGGAGTCTATGCCCGTTTACAAAACTGATCTGATGGTGCTTGTATTCGTTTTCTTTATATCACTGAGCTGATTTTCAAGTGTTTTGTTCAGCCAGAGAAGGACAAGGTGCAGCAGTGTTTTAGCTGAACTGTGTGACAGACAGCAGGGTATCTGGTCTCTGTGTGCTGAGTGCTGCATGCACTTGTCTTCTATCTTACTCACCCTGTAGCATTGCATCTTTATCACAGTAGCTGAATGCTCTGTCAATCAACAGCACACTGAGCTGTTCAAATGGCCAAGAGAGCCAACAGTTAATTTCATTTAAGTGTGTGTGAATTGTGTCCGCCCCCTTTAACCTTCTCAAATATCCTTCCTTTGTCCTTCTTGCGGCAGTGGGAGAAGCTACAGATGACGGCAAGCGAGAGAAGGAAGATCATGTGTTCAGTCACTTTCCATGTCATCGCCATCACCTGTGTGGTGTGGTCGCTCTACGTTCTCATTGACAGAACAGCAGATGAAATCAAACAAGGTCAGCACAGACTCCACTGTGCACACACGAGCGTTAACACAATATAATTGTCTGTGTCAGATCTAGAGTCAGTGATTCATCCGCAACCTTCCACTGTCTCCAAGTCATTCATGGACAGTATTTAATGACAAATCTAAATAACTGTAGTGTTAATTTAGTGGTGTGAAAATTGAGTGCAAGTAGTGTGAAATATTCTCTAAGACTGGAATAGATGTGGGCGTAATTCACTTGTAGAGGCTCAGTGGGCATGGGAGTCACAGCTGATACTTAAATGTGTAGAAGAGTTTGCAGTTTGCTTTAGAGATTAGCTTTTTCCACTTTGGACTCAGTTCAATTCAGTTCACTTTGATTTCAGGCTTGTCATAAATGTTAAGGGATAGAACATAAGAAAAGAGATTGTTAGTCTTATTGTTAAAGAAAAGAATGTAGTCAACATATGGCGTTAACTGTGATTGTTTTTATGGCTTGTGTGTGTATACATGGGTTATCCACATGTAAGTGTACCACAGAAAGGTCCAGCAGCCATGTCATCGCCAATATGTTATTTCTGTGAAGCCTTTTATAGGAGTTGTTTAACACGCTGGCAAATATTTGCTTTCTCACTAAGCATTAGGCGAGGAGATTGACGCCATTCCTTTGTCTTTATACTAAATAATAGAAGTCTACGGCCTGTTAGCTTAGCTTATCATAAAAACTGGAAACCACTAGATTAGCTCTATCCTAAGGCAATAAAAGCACCACTAAACCTCAGTAATTAACACATTATAATCTCATTTGTTTTCACCATTCAAAAGTCAAGGTGCAAAACACTGTGTGGTTTTACCAAGAGTAATGTGATATTGAGAAACAATAAGATTTAACATGCGAATTAATGAGCGCTTGATGTTGATAGGAAGAATGCGTAACCTTGCCTTGACACACGTTGCCAGTGTTTGTGCTAAGATGAGCTAAATGGCTACTGGACATGGCTTCATGTCTATCATACAGGTATGAGATTTGCATCAGCCTCCTCATTTAACATTAGAAGAAACTGCAAATAAGTGTATTTCCCAAAAGGATAACACTATATGTTTATGAAAATTGTGGCCAGTTCTTGCTGGCCCCATAGCCTGTGTTTGCCTTTTTTCTGTTTCCTGATAAATATGGCTATATTGTCTCATTATAAACTTTCAGCGTTTTTTTTTTATTTTTTTTATTATTATTACCATTTTTCTTTTTGCAGTATTATGTGTATAGGCCAAACTGGAGCCTGCTGCTGACCACAGACTGTTAAAGCTACAAGCAGTAATTCAGAAAGCAGGAGGTATTATAGCCCTTAAAAACCTCAAAATACAAGGAAAACAAGAAGAGTAGTTTATGTAAATGCCCTTTTTGCAGCCCCTAGAACCTGGGCTGCTCTTTACATCCATCCTAACCTAAGAGGCAGCAGCACTTACGGATTGACTGATGCCATCATCTTCAGTGTTGTACTCGTTATCAGGACTAAAAAGTGGAGAAGGCTGCTTTAATGATGAGCTGCTGTAGCGTCGTCTGCTGCTACTCATTCCTCTCTGGCATATTTGATGCTTATGAGACCATGTACAGATGGAAGAGCAGGCTGTGCCTGTTTAGTCCAACCTAGTGATTCAGACTCGTTTAGTCCCTGAGCATCAGGGTCAGTCACCATGGTGATGTCTCAGTTCCTCACCAGTCCAGTTTGTACTCTCCCAATTCGCACAGAACCACAGTTGTTTTTTCTCTCGGTTTCCAAAGATTAGTGCACAGTTAGAGCTAATTCACCTTGAAGTATATTTCACTGTCTACTTTGATTAGTGAGGCAGATATAATGTGTATGATTGCGTGAATAATTACATCCTAAAGTGTGTAACTGCAATATTTGATTTCGCTAAATTTCGGCGCCTTGCCTTTTCTATAAATCTGTTTGTATGCCTTTGGTAATACATGATAAATGATACTTGCACTCTCTTTACTCATGCAGCCGGAAGAATCCCAGGTAAACATTTCATCTTTGACCTTTTGACTTTCAGTTCTTTTTTTCTGTCAGCTGTATCCAGTTATTTTCTAACTATATTTTCCCCTTTCCTTCTATCTTCTGCTTTGCAAAAAAAAGCAATGGTTGTTCACCCTTAAAGCCTGGTTGTATTCTTGCCACCTTACTGGATGTTATTGTTACATGAATGCAGACAGAGTTGAGGAAGATGCTGTGATTTAGTTTGTCTGTGTTATAATTTGTGAGCGTTTCAAGAGCTTTGATGAAAACAAACTTCACAGACATACTTGGCTCATAACAGGTGCGCTTCCTCTTAGTTTATTTGGACAATGCTTCAGATTATTACAAGTATTTACACTTCCTTTTACCTTCACCTTTATCTTTTAATTTGAGCCTTATGTTTAGGTTATTTTTGCAATTTGCTGAAATGCTGCAAATGCCTCAGGTTTCACGGTCAGTGCCTGAACCACTAGGCCACGAGGGCTCCACAATTCATGTTGCTACAGTATGAAAACCAACTGGCAGACTTTAAACCTGCTTTTGGTTAGGTAATAATCATTAACACTGTCCATTTTTTTTTTTATTTTAATGGAGATGTAGGTGTAGGGTCATTTGAAAAGTCTGCACTGCAATAGGAATGTTTTTATTTTAAATTGTCCCCCATCTGTACCTGTTAAAGTTGTAGTAGTTTACTGAGCCATTGTCCTTGTGTTTTTGCACTTGTGCATTTTGACCTTGTGACCTCCTGGGTATATATAAAGTACATGTACAAGTACTTATTTTTTCACACTGTGGTCTGTGTTTGCCTTTCATATGTTTCTTTTGTGTCTATTATCTGATCCTCAGGGATTCTAGAATGGCCTTTCTGGACCAAGCTGGTGGTGGTAGCAATCGGCTTTACGGGGGGACTGGTGTTCATGTATGTGCAGTGCAAAGTCTACATCCATCTATGGAGGAGACTTAAGGCTTACAACCGGGTCATATATGTCCAGAATCGGCCAGACACTTGTAAAAAGCTGGCGTTGGAGAAGCCGCCTCTCATGGAGCCAAGTCTGGACAATAAGGAGGCTCTGGCCCCCACCCAGTCGGACACAAACTCCTCCCAGTACACAGAAACAGAGGACTACGTAGGTATGGAAGTGCTCCATGTCTGACCAGCCAGTCCATGCCATTGGTTGTCCTCATGCTACACACACAAACAGACCTACAGTGAAGGGTAGCAGTCATGGAAATGCTCAGTGGCTGAGGACCGACCGAACACTCCCCTTGCTCTGATCCCAGACTGACTCACTGCCCTCTTCTGGTTATCTTATGTCCCTAAACTCCATCCAGAGAGATAGGCAGACCATGACTGTCTTTTTCTATCCACTTTTCTCCCTTCCATCTGCACATTCAGTCCACACTTTTGCCCCTTTTCTTTCCCAGGACTGGACAGCTTGTACTGACGTCTGTAAATGTCTGAAGAGGCCTGGAGCATACACACCCACTCTTGTATGTACCATACAACTCTGGGAGAGCGGGACTGAGATAAACAGACTCAAATGGCTCCAGAGGTCTCCACATCTCTGAGTGGTTTGTTTGCTTGTGGGTTTGTTAAATTTGTTTGTTTTTACCTCCTGTGAGTTTGGGGCTAATTTGCTGTGGATCAGTATGTAGCGCGGTGCTTCAGATCTCTGGAACATTCCAGCTACTGCCATCTCTGTTGCTGTAGTCTGTCTAGGTTCTGGGTTGGTCTCGGCCGAACCAGGCCTTGATCTGGACATATATCAAAGCACTTTTGTTTTGTAGTTCCCATAATAAATACCCTCCCTTCCTCTATCTGTTTTTTCTTTAATATAAATCAAGTCTTATATGGGGGAGAGCACAGTTAAATTTGACATTTTCATGCATACATATATATAAAAACCCTCCTATGGCTGACAAAAAAAGGAACTGAGTTTTAAAAAACTGAATTGTACTGAAAGAAAAATATGTTTTGGAGCAGAAAAGCAGAAAAAAATGTTTTGAATATGACGTGTGGTTAATAGCTGAACATTCAGCCACAGGACTTCTCTACCACAATCTGAACTTTCGGAAGGCTTGTGAATGTAAACTTTTTTTAATAATGATTAAAAAAACAAACAATATGAAACTTTTTTTTTTTTACTGCAATGTAATTTCCATGTGTTGAGAGATAATGAGCGCCTTTGAGGCATAAACGGCATCACCCATGTTTTTCTATCATGTGAATGACAGTATTTACAGTGTGATAGTCCATGTGAAGTTTTTAATATGCTGATTTGTTTGCTTAGTCATTGACTATGCCTTGAGAAGTCCACAGCTGCCTGTTTACAGTTTGTTCCTCCATCATTCTCGTTGTGCACTCGGTGCATTACTGACCCCAAATATTTTGGGTAAAAAAAAAACAAAAAAAAAAACAGGCAGACAAGTAACTGTGTGTATTTTAAATCCGACTGTTCAAAGTAAGTTTTATCATTTTTGCTCTGACAGATTGGTATTTTAGATTTCAAAGACAAAACAGCCAGCACGATGCCTCTTATTTGACTATTTTTCTCACATTTGGCCTTATGTGGCTCAAATGGGTTAAGTTGTTCCAACATCTCTCAAATGCATAATTTCAGCATTCAGACTCAGTGTAAAATCTTCCCTACAGTTCACTACATGCAACAACAAACTAATTTATTCTGGAGTTAGACATGCAATACATCCCTAAGTTTGCTGCCTGTGATAGATATACAGTATGCATCATAATGCATTGATTAACTCACTGGTGCGCCACCCACTGGTATGAATCTGAAGGTGCAGTCTGAGATGGGCAGCCGTTGATTTGTCAGGGCGATGTGTTTTTGAGCCTTACAGTCATTGTTAGTGCTTTTGTGTATGTGAGAGCACAGCGATGCCGGGCTCATGTTGAGCCTCACAGCCATTTCAGCAACAAATGCATTTTTTTTAAAACAGTCTTTGATACTAGTATACAGTTTGTGAACAACGTACCGGACAATTACTGCTCAGTAGCAGCAATAAATTAAATCAGTATACTCGTGTATAGGGGTGACTCGATACAGATACCACAGCCTTGAGTATCGGCTGATAATTGATACAAATCCAGTACCCCCACCCCCCTTTGCTCTTCTCAGTTTTCCATGTATTTAACATCTCCTCTGTTGCTGCAACGATGAACTCTCCTGTGCATGAGCCACAAAACTGTTTAGCCTGCAACACTGCTTTTTTGCAAAGTAAAGCTTCAGTCTATCTATTCTGCAGTCAGGCTTAGTAATGACATAGGACACACATCTGAGCTCCAGGTGTCAGCTGTGGAACCACTCATGGCGGTGTTTTCCAAACATTTTGAAATGAATCACTCACTTGTTTGTACTTATTTGGGATAGTGGTGTTGGTGATGGAATGCCAGGTTGGCGCCATGTAGTGAAGCTAAACATATTCCATTAAGTATCAAAAACCCACATTTTCAGCAACAGAAATCGGTTGGTTATTCAGCATGATGAATTCAGTCATTTTCTCCATTACCAGATTTGCTTTGTTGCTGTTAAAGGGGAGTTTCTCATGCGTCTGAATTGTTTCCTGCAATGCTTGTTGTTGCCAGGCAGTTTTCTTCTTGGCACTCGTGACCTCTGTAAATTCAGCAAACTCCTTTCCATGATGCTTTTAGAATTGTTTAATCAAGTTCATGGTGTTGAAGTTGTCAACGCTGCTGCCACCTTTCGAAGCGCTCACATTGCAGAAACTGTACTGTTTTGCTTTTTCCCCTTGGGTTTGAAATAATTCCACACAGCTGACGGGTCTCGCCTCTCACTCACGTTCTAGTTGCTGTTCACGTGACACATGCTGTTCTTCCATCTTTATGGCATGTCACTCAGGTGTCTTTAAGCATTTGTATGATAGTTTAAGATGATCCATGATCATATCAAAATTGGTTATACACACACACACACACACCGAATCCAGATGATTTTGGCCAGTATCAGACTAATACCAATACTGAACACCGGATCGGTGCACCCCTACTCGAGACTTAAGATCTGGAGCCTACCATCTTTTTCCATATATAATAAGAGCCGAAAGACGTGTCGTGTGTCCAGTTGGATTAAGACTAGTAACAAGAATCTTCTCTGAAACTTCAAAACCTGTGAGGCTCAGTGCAATTAGTCAGGTAAAAGTGCAATTACCCTTTTGCTGTTGTCCTATTCTGTAGTTATGTACTGGTGTTTAATGTCCAGGGGGTCCTCTGGGTTCAAAACGGATTATTTCTTCAGTTTGTGTTGTATTTATTTAAAAAAAAAAAAGAACCGTACAATTTGTTCATTTAAAGCCCCCGTTCATTAGTAATTTTATGCAACTTACACTCGGGTTTTCCCAGGCATAAATACCAGAAAATCACTTCCACTGTTTGTTTTGCACTTAGCTTGTCATTTAAGCTTGGTTCCTTTCTCAATTATGTTTTAAATATGCAGAATACAGATATTTAACCAGAGTATATTGGAACATTTGTATTTTTTTTTTTAAATCAGCAGAAAAATAAAGATGGAATTTTAAAGGTGGACTGTAGATCTTGCTTCTTGCATGCTACTCATAGGAGCTGGCTCCTTTTACGACGTCTGAGACAAGCGTTTTGATGAAGATTGAGGCCACTGTAGGATATGGCCAGCAGATTTTTCTTTCTCAGATTCTCTATCATAATAAATCAATTTCTTCATTTTATAATCCTCTTGAGCAGGACATTGACTGAGAAGATACTTTCTCAGCCTCATTGTCCCCGTATTTTAAGGTTTAAGTCTAGAACGTTGTCTCTCTGCCCTGTCACTTAAATCTTATGTCTGGGAAGAGTGTAACTTGCATAAAATTATATATTTTACTACTGACTGGACTTGAACATATATGACTGTTGCCCTGTCTTATAACATTCTGCAAGTTTGTCTGTGAATTTACTTTGGAATAGTAACTGTAAAGAATTTGGTAAAAGTACTTATGTTTTTAAATGAACTATTGATGTGCTTTCAGTTTAATTTCCCATGTTTGAACAAAGTACGTACTAGAATTAAAAAATAACCAAATAAAAATTGTTACTTTTAATGCTATGTATCTTTTTCAGCATAAGTAGTAAATCATGTGTTCTGAATTTAAGTGTTCTTGTAATAGGATTTGATGCTAATTTTGCATTAGACTTTTCACGTTCACATCCTGTTTTGCACTTCTGAAAAGGGTAGAAATGACACACTGCAGCTATAAATGAAAACTTTTTAATTGGCAAAAGGTATTTTAACAAATATTCACCCAAATAAGTGACAAAGACAGTTTACATTGGACAGCTCAGTAACATCTGCTTAACCTCAAAGTGCTATATGCAAGACATTAAGTAAATAAGTAAGTAGAGACATGAGAATCCTCACCAGAGAAGTGTGTTGTACTCCTCAAACAGCAACACTGTTTGGGATTTTGTCAGGGGACATGTTATAGTAGGGAAGCTTCTTTCCCTCATTCCTTGTCTTGATGGAGCTGGTTATCTCTGCCAGCTGCTTCCTGAACTTAGCCATGGCCGCCTTCACTTGTTTCTCTATGAAGTGTTCATTAGGATACATGCCCA